ATAAATTATGCTGACTGTTACTTACCACCTTATTATCTTCTAGGTGTTTGCCCTAGAATGAATTCCATCAGACCCTGCTGATTTGAAAATATCGTATTTACCTAAATATTCTTTCACATGTTCTTTCCCTAATCTGTCTTCGGTTCCTTCCCCATTGTTAATATTAATCATGTTTGTGCTAAGCATCTGGTCACAATTAACCTTTTTAGTGAAGACTGAAGCAAAATAGGCGTTCAATACCTCAGCCTTCTTGGTGTTGTCCATTACTAGTCCTCCTTCCTTGCTAAGGGGTAGATTATTTGTGCAGATGTTCTCCACAGCTAAAAGCTTATTCACTGCTTCCATTCACCTATTCCTCTGAGATTTCTGACAGGATAGGAGAGCCTCTGTCTTTCCTGAGGGTAGCTTGATTGCTTTCATTGAGGGGAAAAACAGGGTTGTGGCTATTTTTAAAGAGGACAGAAACTGGAGTTTCTCCAAAGATTTTATTCTTATGCTTCAACTGATACATTTATAAAAATATTTGTCTTCATGGACTACCCACTGCCCCAGATGTGCTCAATAAGGAGCACAGGAGACAGTAAAACTGGGAAGGAAATACAAGGGAATGTGGAGAGCAAGAAGGAATGGAAAGCTGGAGTACAGGCACGGCTACTTTGCACTGCTCCATAGTGGTATAAAGCAGCCAGAGCATAGTGGTGGTGGGTCCCTAAAAGTTAAATTAAAAAATTATTTGGTATTGCATAACTTCATTAGAAATACTGCATGGTAACATTCCCTTGGGTCGTCTTGTTTACTGTTGAGGTCTTTTTTTTTTTTCTTAATTACAATTTTGAATTTTTTTTTTCAAATTAAAAAAAATGCTCAGCAAGTACATTGAGTACATATCAGTAATTTAGGGTAGAATACTTTACAGGAATGTTGTAAATGTATTGTGTTTATAAAACCCAGGGAATTTAGAGTAAGGAATAAACTCAATAGAAATCCATAATTTTAAAGTATGGAAACAACCATTTATGCTGACTCCCTCCATAACCACCATAGTATCACTACTCATAGACTCTGACTTTAAGGTCAGAAGGGACCATCAAGATCATCTAGTCCAGGGATCTCAAACTCAAATCACCATGAGGGCCACATGAGGACTAGTACATTGGCCCGAGGGCCGCATCACTGAAACCTTTTCATACAGTGATGCAAAAGTATACCTCTATCCCGATATAATGCGACCCAATATAACACTAATTCGGATATAATGCGGTAAAGCAGCGCTCCAGGCGGGGCGGAGCTGTGCACTCCGGCGGATCAAACCAAGTTCGATATAACGCGGTTTCACCTATAATGCAATAAGATTTTTTTGGCTCCCGAGGACAGCGTTATATCGAGGTAAAGGTGTATAGTCAAAAATGAAGAGTAATATAGTATGCTATTAAAAATCAATGTATTAACTTTTTTAAAACTGTAATGCAAAGAGGGGTTTTAATAAAATATGAACACCTGTAACTATTCCTTATGTGGTCAGTAACACTGATGATGATCTACACTGTACAAGGGTTTGCCGGGGCTCGACCCTCTCCGGGGCGGCAGGGAGCCACACCGGCTCACTACACACTGGTGCTTGGGTACTTCGTCCGGCTGCAGGGTCTCCCTCTGCAGCCCTTGCGGTCCTGGAAGACACAGTAAGCCCGACCGTGGCTCAGGGCGGGGCACCAATGCTACGTCAGGGGCTCAGGCCCTCGGTCAGGGCTGAGCAACCAGCAGGAGTATTTAGCCCAGGCCCTAGGTCAGGGCGGGGCAACAAATGCTGAGTCAGAAGCTCAGGCCCTCAGTCGGTATGGTGGGCTGCAGGAAATAACTCCTCCGCAGGCCGCGTGTTTGAGACCCCTGATCTAGTCTGACTGCCTGCACATTGCAGGCACCAGAACACCACATGCCTACTCCTGTCGTTAGAATGAATTTCCTATTGCCATTGCATTGTAATCCCTTAGAGTAATGCTACCAATTTGGTTATTGAATGGTGTCACTAAAATGTTTTGGGGGGGAGGGACCTGGTGGGAAGCAAAGGGATGTTTTTTGTTACTCAGTTCCGAGATTTGAAGAGTGCCTCCTTTTCCTGCTTTTGACAAACAGACACCAGGAGAAGAAGAGACATGAGAGCAAAGGTTGGGGAAATACAGTGTTGGTTGATGGCAGGATTTCGGATGCAGGTCAGTCACAAATGGATGCTCTGAGGTGACAGGTTAGCCATGACAGCAATTGCCCAGACTTATCTTCCAGTCTGGAATGTGCAGCGTTGTCTGGCTGGTCCTTAGGATGGCCAGAGCTAAATGTGCCATCTCATCTCATTGTGTTGGTGCTGTATGGTACAGCTGACTTCAGGATCAAATGGAAAGCTGAGAGACAGTGGACAGGAGGAAAGATAGTGGAGCAGAAAAGAACACACTGATGCAGCAGTGAAAGCCACGCTTCCCTGTTCAGCTCTAGGTTTCATGATGATGTAGTAACTTTTGTGATCCGTGGGAGAAGGATGAAGTCTTGGGAGCACAGCAGAGTCCTAGCAGTCTTCCCCCTCTTGGAATCCCTCAAAGTCCCACCCTTTAAGTGCCGATAGGCGGAATAGTCCATCCTCTCCTTTTGTTCTCGAATTAGGTCTAATTTC